CACCCTCAGCCGGCGCCAGCGCATGGCGGTCAAGCTGCGGCGGAACGAGAAGCGCATCCTGCTCCGCACGATCCGCGTCTGCGAGCAGGAGCTGGCCGAGTTCGATGTGAGCGAGGCGAGACTATAGAGGGGTGGTGCCGCGCGAGGGGGCAGAGCACAAAAGCACGTAGACAAAATGCGCAGCCGGTGTTTTGCGGTCAAGCCAGACCTCGTGTCAGAACACAGTAATAGATATCACTTTACGGGAATCCCAATGGTGCCTGACACTCACAGCGCCGAGGGCCGACAGGGCACAAAATGAAAACCACCACGCCGCGGTCCATGGCAAACCCTTTGCTCGCCCTCCGCCCTCGGTGCCCTCGGATTTCGCATGGCCGGCCCGGCATGGCGGGCTGGCACCCCGGTGGGCCCTGAGGCCGCGGCGACAGCTTGTTACCTTGTTTGTTAGCCCTCTAGCGGAGTGGGCCCCGAGTTTGAAAAGGGCGACGGACGCTTGCGTCCTAGCCTCCAACAACGCCTCCCCGGCGCAGAGGGGCTCCCCGGAGGGATGCACAACCGCTCCACGCCACGCCGCTTGCGGCGGTCCTCTTCCCAGCTCCGCTGAGGGCGCGTACGTTATTTATGACCGCGCAAGATATAAAGGGTGGCTAAGGGCTCTGCTCGCAAGGCGCCCGCGTCGCAGACGCGGTACCATTGACAAATCTGCAATATACCCCCACACGAGCAAATAGCAAAATCCGAATACCGTGCACGAACTGCGTGATGTGGGCCGTGGACGGGGGCAAGCCTTCAGCTGGTGCCAAGACAAACGTAAAATTGAAGCCACGAACGTCCGCCAAATCCGTGCTAGGGAAAGCTGATCGAGCCCAGCGTGCCCGCGGCCGCCTCCCGCGCAGCACCGCCGCTGCGGAATCGGATCGAGCCCATGGAGGAGGAGGGCGCAGTCGGCCAGCGCAGTCGGCCAGCGCAGCAGGCGGAGTCCCTCCCCGCGCCGGAGCCCCCCTGCAGTCGAGGGAGTCCTCGTTGGCGATGAAGGTGGCGACATCGAATCGCGGCCGACACACGTCACGTGGGAGGAATGGGCGATGAGCGGGAACGATGCGCGCTACGACGCCGACTCCGCCGTGCTCGTGGCCGCCAAGCAGAAAGCCGCGCTCCAGGAGCACGCCAAGATGCAATGGCTCGCTTGCTTCGATTCAGCTCTCTCGGCAGCAGAAGTGGGGCTGGAGCGGGTGGGGGTGGATGCCGATTGAGGGGGAGCGTCTCCAGCTGCGCCCTGTGGCAGCTGCGCCCTGTGGCAGCTAGTCGAGGGACTTGGTAGTTGTGACCCCCCTGAGTGAGGACAGGAGAGAGAGAGAGCGTTTTGTGGTGTTGGTGTACGCAATAACGGGACAGGGTAGTCGTTCTCTCTAGCTCCCCTTCTAGCTCTTAGCATGAGCTGCGCCCGGTGTCCGACCCCTTTTGCGCAGCAACACCTTAAACTTTTAGGCCCTCCAAATTCGGGTCGGAGCGTAGCGGAGTGGGCCCCGAGTTTGAAAAGGGCGACGGACGCTTGCGTCCTAGCCTCCAACAACGCCTCCCCGGCGCAGAGGGGCCCCCGGAGGGATGCTCAACCGCTCCATGCCACGCCGCTTGCGGCGGTCCTCTTCCCAGCTCCGCTGACGGCAGGTTCGTTATTTATTTACTCGCGCGCAGTGCGTGACGCACTGCCCCCGACGTTTGCGCACTGGCACTAACACAGTCTACACCACGGGAGCCGCCGCAGCGATTCCTGCTCTCTTTGGGGCATGTACATGAGCGCATGCCTCGCCGACCTGGCTCGGGGCGACCTGGCCTGGCTGCGCGCCTTCCTCTCTGGGCAGGGGACGCGCGGCACGTCGCTCGCGGCCCAGCTCGACGCGCGGCACGACACCGAGCGGCAGGACACGCTGCTCACCTGGGCCGCTCGGCACGGGCAAGCCGAGGCGGTGCGGCTGCTGCTCGAAGGCGGCGCGAGCGCCGGGGCGACCGACGGCGAAGGCGCCACCGCCCTCCTCCTCGCGTGCGCTGGGTGCTACCCCGAGTGCGTCCGGCTGCTCCTCGAGGCCAGCGCGGCGGTCGGCCAAGCTGCTGATGGCGGCTACACGCCGCTGTACGTTGCGTCCCATAACGGCGAGCACGAGTGCGTCCGGCTGCTCCTCGAGGCCAGCGCGGCGGTCGGCCAAGCTGCTGATGGCGGCTACACGCCGCTGTACGTTGCGTCCCATAAAGGCGAGCACGAGTGCGTTCGGCTGCTCCTCGAGGTTGGCTCTGCGCCCAACC